CAGGCAGACATCCGGACGGACAGACAGAGAGACGGATACGCAGATGGACCGATACAGAGAGTGGTAGATAATTAGTTAAAGAGATAGAAGGATGGATGGATGGATGGATGGATGGATGGATGGATGGATGGATGGATGGATGGATGGATGGATGGATGGATGGGCAGACGGATAGATTCGTTGATGATAGATGGATAGATTAATCGGTAGATCGACAGATAGAACGAGAGACGGATAGATATAGATAGATTTCGATACATGCAGATGGTCCAGAGCCACATAGGTAGATAGACACATAGATCCACAGATATTCAGATAGCTCGAGGTAGGTAGGTTGGTTGTGGTTGGTATAGGTAGATAATAGGTAGATAGATAGATAGATAGATAGATAGATAGATAGCTGGTATAGAAATATACATAGAGATGGAGATCGAAAGAGACAGAGATAGGTAGGTATGTAGGTAGGTAGGCAGGTAGGTAGGTCGGTGGGTAGGTACTGGTAGATTGGGACTGGTAGATAGGTAGAATGCGTGGGTGGAAAGATAGAACTGTGCGCGATTGAAACATCATATTCGTGATCCGTGGTCATGTGCGATGTCATCTTTGTATATGTAGAAGACGACGCAGTTGGTATAAGCTGGGTGTTACCTACAATGAAACGGCTCCTAGGAGAGCCTGACGCTCCGTCAGCAGTCTCAGCTTTTGCATGTTCATGAGCAAGCGCCGACAACGCACCTCGCTCCTTTCTGTGCGGTTCTTCCAGATGTGACGCCTTCTTGTCCGCTCCTCCGAAACAGAGAACGAGACACATGATTTTGTGTGTTCGCTAGACCAAGCTCACTACTTTTGTCAAGCGCGGAATTCGTGCAAGTTCTGCAGGATGCGTGGGAAGCATTGGATGACGACGGCAGTGGCGAGCTGACGGAGCAAGAGTTCGATGAGGCCTCAGCTGCATGGGTCTTGTCTGTAGCCAGCCACAAACTTTTTGAGAGATCTTGAATGACGGGTTGAGGACTCAAGGCAAGAAACACCAGGTTGCAAAAAAGGGGTTTCGAATGCTAGCCGCAGACGGCATACTGTAGTGTTTGAGTGTTTGCAGCACCGACAAGCTAGGCTGGCCAGTGCTAGCAAGTGCCAGGTACTAGCATTTTGGCGATACCAGCAAAGCGACACTAATCATGTTTTGACGGAATGAGCATCATTGTTAGACCGCTCAAAATAATTTCATGGAAAACACAAGAGGGTCCTGTACATTTCCAGGCTCTGAAGAAGAAAGGCTACTTCGGGCCAGTGCGCGTTGTCTTTGCGCTCCTCGGCCATGGTGTTTGGGGGGTCCACTGCAAGGAGAAAGTACAGTAGAGCTTGAACGCCTGGTAACTACAAGTCAAGCGACTTACGGCCTCACAGTAACGTTCCAGATGCTTCGGCTTCGCTCAGGGCGTGTGGAGGCATCAAAGTTTCGGAGTTCTTCGTCGCTCTAAATTTCAGCAAAGGATGGATCTAGTGCTCGTCTTGAACGCTTTCGGGGTCTTTGCCTGGGGCTGGGCACCAAGGCTTGTCTCTCGCTCTTGCATACAAGCACTCAGATTTACAGATGAATGAATTTGCTGTTGCCTGCACTGTGGCAGGATGCTTCACGAATAGCTGCAACAACTATCTACGTTCTTCTACATCTTGTCATGCATACTAGGACTTGTGACATTGTCCAAAGCAGGCTGCTGCACCGTGCTGTCGAGCCATGCACGTCAGCAGCAAGTGCAGCACACACAGCAGCATGTGCATTATACACATGCTGCTGAGGGCATTTTGGCACATTCGCGAGCTTTTAGAGCTTTTTGCATCATGAGTACTGCAGGCTCCTGGACAACACGGATGACGGGAACATTTCCTTCGACGAGCGACTAGACACTGCATCAACGGTGCCTCTTTTCCCTCCTGCAGCACTGGACGACCTGGAAAGTTGTCATCAAGAATTCGCTTTTGCTAAGGTTCATCGTCCTTGAAGACTACAAGCCTTGAGCCAGTTGAGAAGCAAAGAGGAACAGAAGACAGCCGCTTCAATTCGGCACACCGCTGCCTTCGTGATTTTGGCAGAGCCAAGGGTCACGAGGTCTGTCCCTGACCTTCGCGTTGCTTCCCACCGGCTTGTCCAATTGTAGAAGTATGCTCACCAGCACTCCGAATGGAGTGCCGGAGACCCAAACCAGTCTAAACTGTCTAAACCGAAGAGCCATGCATTTGGATGCCCTATGTGTTGCAAGTTTTCGATGTCGTTGGTGCATCTTAGCATTCACGCTTTGGCATAGAACCTAGTCCTCGGGCATCGGATAACGCGCTGCTCATCGATCTTTTAAACGATGAGGGAGGCGACTGAGCTGGGCAATGCTTGCACCCTAATCGCGATGTGCCGAATCACCTAGACCCCAAACCCTCAGCGAAGCCCAGCGTGATGCCCGATATATCCGCAGATGCGTGATGAGTTGCTGTACGCGACTCAAGCCGCAAGCGCTTATGACTTGCTTTCGCCAGCTCACTGCCCTCCCGAATGTGTGTTGCTCCGCAGCAGCTGTCAGCCTTAGGCACAGCAGAGCACAGGAAAAGCGCGACGTTTATGATCCAGGATAGATCCAAGGGAGGGTGTGGCCCCGTTTGGAGGTTACTGTTTGGGAATAAAGCTTACAAGATTTGTGACTCTGGGAAGCCAGCCACGGTGAGGTCGCATCTGATGTGATGCGATAATTAGCCGCTACGAAGAGTCCGCGGAGCCTTGTTTTCCCGTATCACGAGTACTTTACTGTACCTGTCTTAATCGACAAAGAAACGCAAGATAAGATCACTCCCTGGGCCGCCGTGAGATGCAGGCAGAGGCCCAGAAGTTGCAGCAGGAGCAGAGAGAGCAGAGAGTCTGCGGAGAGTCTGCGGCTTTGGGCAAGATCGCCGAGCCGTCGAGGAGATGGAGACCTGCGAGGGCCTCGCGTCCAATGCAGTGGAGCAGAAGACGCGGATGGGGCCCGCGGCTTCCGGGGCGTTTCGGGTTTGTAGGGGCTTAGGGTGGCTTAGCCTTTCAGATGGCCTCAAGGGTTATGTGAGCACAAGGCTCCATGAGTGCGTTGTCTGTCGATGCTTGCGCTTTTTGGAACTCAACATTGACATGTACACCTGAGAGTTGTGAAGCGCGTGGGGAAGAGGCATATCGCAAGCAAAGGGCCCCCATGCACGGCATGCATGATACATGGGCTTCCAGGTACTCTGCTACATCTCTGGGTGTCGCCCCGCTTCCCCACACGGCTTCAACCCTGACCCCTCAGTTCTCCATTCGCCTTCATGCATCCTTGCACAGGCTCATGAGCCAAGGCCTTCGTCATGCTGGCACCTAAGATTTTGAGCTGTTCTCAGCTAGGAGCCGATCATCATTTGGCAGGGTTGTTCTCCTGCAGCTAAGATTACGGGGTATCCAGGCCCTCGTCAGCAATAGGTCTCACGTGTTTCTCAAGTCTTTGCCGCCCAAGGATCGCATCAGATGGGGTTGGAGCTTGCAGGACGGGCTGGCATCGCTGACTTTCCTCCACAGCATTTTCCTAGTCCTTTTGATATCGACGGTCGCTAGTCAAGCTGTCGATGAAAATTTGTGGTGGTTTGGTGTCCGCCTGTAAACAAATGGACGCTGTTTCTGAGGACCGCAAATGGGAACCCATTCCCCTTCGCTGAACGGTGGAACCGCTGGAATGAAATATTCAGTTTCTGCATGCTAGACTGCTATTAGAGTCTCAGAGGAGGGAGCCAGCAGCTTTTTACCTGTCAACTTCCGTTGTCGCTGTGGTCTTGGTTTGTGCGCTTGGCTTTTGATGATGAATACATGTACCGTCGTCCTCATCTTGAAGGTGATTCTCATTATGTCTCATTTTTTCCACAGCAGCATCGTTGTTGCACTTCCTACTTGTAATATGGCAGCCACCAGGTGTTTCGGGGACAATGCAAGTAAGTGGAACCCGACCTTGCGCCTCCATGCGGTAGCAGCACAGACAGAGAACTCGCACTTGCACAGGAGAAGATGAACCTTGCAGCGCAAAGGCAAAGCCTGCAGCAATAAGCACGAATCCTGCCGAGGAGCTCTCCCGACAGCTCGCTGCCCTGCCTGGCGACACGCTCCTAGCTTCGGCTGCGGCCCTCTTTGCCGGACCATTTGGCGCAGAGCTCGGCACAGAAATAATGACCGCCGGAGACTTTCAATGCCACAACCTACCCCACACAGAGTATCCCTGGAGGGCAAAGTGCCCACCAAGCATGCCTGCAGTGAGGACAGCCCCCAAGAAGTATCCTGCAGACCATCGCACAGAACATCAGCAGTTTCCCACATAGTATCCTTTTAGCAGCAGTGCCCACCTACAAAGCTTCACATGCAGAGCATACCCAGAATGCCCACCCCAAAAGTTACTTCTGCCTGGTTGGGGACACTCGAATTCGAAATCCTTGAGGGCTGTGAGGTTTTGGGAATTGCGGGGGGAGGGGGGCAAACCAACCGGTCTAAAGCTTCAGGATTTTGGATGTTTTGTTTTGGATGTTTTGATCCGAATCAGGATCATGCATGCTATCCTTGTAATCCTCATTGCAACACCCGAAACAAGAAAGTGCACCTTCAGAGAGGACACAACGGTGGTTGCAGGGCGATTTGCTCCAAGTGTTGTCGAATCGTGCGGTGTGCCTGTGGTCAACTGCACGGAATTTATAGTTTGATTTTGGGCACTTCCACATCCACATGCAAGAGTGTAGCATGGTCCTTTCCTTCGGCAGTTCGTTTCTGCTCCTGAGTACGTCATGTCACGCAGGAAGCAACGCTTGGTCAGACTACACCGGCCTGGTATCCATAGGTTTGCAGTCCGGTTGGTCCATATTGCTGCTGCTATCCGTTCCGGATCCTTGTAGACATTATTGCGTTCTTCTGTGCTAATTACGGTTACTTGAATTGCGGTGCCTGCGATCCTGGGCGTGGCCAAGGCCCCATGCATCGCGAGGAGCTCATGGCCCACTGGAAGGCCCCAAACTTCTAAGGTCTCGGCCGGGCCTGGGACATCTTTTTGTTGTAAGTACCAGGTGTTCACTCATATTTAGAAAGATACATAGATCGGTAGATAGGTGCAGAGAAGCGAATGCAACATCCTTGCATATGCGTGTTCAATTCTATTTCTTCGGGCGGGAAATCCAAGAGCCCTACGAATTTCTCTGGTGAGGACTCTCTGGATCCTTCAACCCCGAGTACAGACATCCCTTTCAACGAAGCCCAGACGAACGAATCCCTGGTTTGGGCAGTAGTACTTTGCTGCCATACTCGTGCTCAACTCCTGGTCGTCGGATTAGTGGTTTCATCAAACAGCGATGTTCTGACATAGGTCGGTGAGACCCAAAGATCCCACATTGAAGTAGAAAAATCGAAACTTCGAGTGCAATTCAATAGCTTGCCTGGCCCTTGCAGGCAGAAGCTCTTGAACATTCTAAATAGTCTGGCATCTCACCAGCTGAGCGATGTGCCCATCTCGTGCAGATTGCAAATTTTCTGCACATTACTGGAGTCAGCCGAACACGCTGAGAGCCCGTCAATGAGCAACATTCTTTAGCACTTCCCCCTGTGATAAAGAGCTTCAGCCCGCAAAGGTCTATTTCTTGCAAGTTTCTACATCGGACACCGTCCGCACATGCCTTCCATGCTTCGGGCTACTCGGGTTGTGCGAATTCGAGTTTCATGCACACGTAGTACATCGATGGTGCTTGTGAGAGTGTGAGTGGGTTGTTGCTTCGTCCACCTATACCATGCTTGCTCGCTATCTATCTATCTATCCATCTATCTACTTATCCATCCATCTCCCGCACATACTCATAAACATGCGGATGTACCTACGTACGCATAGATACACATCTACAGCTGTGTGTGTGTGTGTGTGCGTGTATGTGTATATATATATACACATTCATCTCTACAATGACCCTACAACCTTGCATGAGGCTGCACCAGCAGCAATCTCTCGCGACAGGCCATCCTGGACAAGCTCTCCATACCCCACAGCAAGGACCCTGGATGGGCTCTCGATTTCACCCTAGGTTCCTGCGATTGCTTTCCATAGTACGATTCGCAAGTACGTGATCTTCTCAAAGTCCCAGCAGGTGCATGCAGCTTTCGCTGGCATGCTGCAGACTGCGTTCTTCTGGAGCTTGTCGGCTAATCTGTGTTAATTCTAGCAGAAGAGTGGCAACAAGCTCAGTCAGAGATCGATAAGCCCCCACAGGCCTGAACATTGGCTTGTGAAGTTCCTGCGAAAACCCACGCCAACAGCGCGCAGCCTGTTTTCCGAATGCCCCTGCAGGAGCTTGACCTGCCCAGATACTGGATCCCGGCCACGGCACGGTGCCGGTGGCACGCTGACCTGGAATTGCCAAAGGCCACGTTTTGGAATGTGAGCATATTTTACATGAGTGTCAGACCGAGCACTGTCATCGTTCCAGTCAGACGTTCCCAGCATGATAAGTAGTTGCTCTGTCGAGCTTGATCACGATCGCCTCCTTAGAGTACCATGCTGCTGACGCGGATTTTGCCATCGACTGACTCCTTGCTCCTATCCTGAATCCTGACCACCACCGATGCCGCCGGTTCTAGTACCACGACTAGTGACTACCAGTACAGTTAGCGCTACTACCACTACTACTTCTCCACAACAACAACTACTACTACTACCACTACTACCACTACTACCACTACTACTACTGCTAGTACTACTACTACTCCTACTACTCCTACTCCTCCTCCTCCTCCTACTACTACTACTAGTACTACT